TATATATATATATATATATCTTTTTTTGGATTTATTTTGATGTTCATATGCTTAATAGATTAGTAAAGTTTCAAGTTTTCTCAATATGTATATGGACGTTTTTATAATATTGAGTTTTTCCTTATACTGAACAGGAGTTAATTCTACTTGTTAACAGTTATGCGACTGCATTATTTGGTTTTTGGGAATTCTTCAATTTTTATCTTCAATAAAAGCATAATAGTGCTAACTTTAAATAGTGATATATTTGGTACGTCTTGACTGTTAATTTGTTTGGCTTTGATTAAAAGTTTCTTTTTCTTGAAGATAAGTTGGCTTTGTTAATATAAAAAGTAACTTTGAAAAATCATTTTTTAAGAAAGTTAAAATAAGTTTAGTGTACTTTTAAGCAGAACCAAACGTGTTTTTCTGGTAAGAATCCCTCTGTATTTTACTTTGTAAGATGCTGAAATATTTGGTAGGGAATGAACACAGTAGTTAACAGATTGTATTTGTTGTCGTTTCAGTTCATTAATGAGAATGATCTTACTTATACAGTCCATTATACTGTTTTGTGGCAAATTTATCTGATACTAGCTATTAGTCTCATTAACAAGGAATTCCTGACAGGTTGGGCAAGTTAAAATTTGTTAGCCACTTTATAAAGTTGAAACGAGATTGTGGTTCATTATCAAATCAGTTAGGCAGTCCTGCTGCTAAATGATTCATAATTCATTATTCAAAACAACTGTTGGATGGAGAAATGCTTTCTTACCCATTACTACTAATTTGATTATTAGCTGGTTGAACGACTATGGCGTGTTGAATACTACGATTAGCATCCCTACTTGAATTCTGGGTCTGAGACGACATTGACCAATCTTAATATCTTATATTCAGTAATGTGGTTGGAAAATGGAAATAGAAGTCTGCTCTGTGTGCGCGCGCGCGCGCGTGTGGGTTGGGGGGGGGGGGGTGGAAAGGGGTTTGCATTAATTTCTGTCTTGATAATCCTCTTTACCCTATGCAGACCTTGAAACTATTAGATTTTCATTTTGATTCAATGAAATGTGTTTGTGCTGTTTATGTCGTAGTGATGATTGTTTATTGTCCTTTATTTAGTAAAATTTTAGAAGAGTCAAAGGAGGGTAAAATTTTAAAATTATCAAAGGAGTTGAATGGTGGAATTTACAACAAATGGACAGGGAGTGAAGACTGGTTTACTATTAGCAAACTCTGCTATATGAAAGTCAATACTTACATGAATCATCGTCTCCGTCATTGCTTGCATTATAGTTTCTCTTATTCTCTCAGCATAACTGCTATACCTACTTTCTTATTCTTTGATATCTTTGTTCTGTGGCGAATGACAGGATTTTTACATTAATGGAGTCTTCCAAAGAGACTGGCTGCCAAGCTCCAGAAGGCCCCATTCTTTGCATCAACAACTGTGGCTTCTTCGGAACTGCAGCTACCATGAATATGTGCTCCAAGTGTCACAAAGAGACGATCTTGAAACAGCAACATGCCAAACTTGCAGCTTCTACCATTGAGAACTTGGTTAATAGTGGCTCGGGTGCTAAAGGGAAAGAGATTGTCGTGACTGACGCAATTGACGTGCAAGCTGGAGTAGTGGAGTTGAAGGCCACATCTATGTACATGTCGTCTGATTTATTTTCACATCAGAGTTCAGAGGTAAGGACGAAAGATGGCCCTAAAAGGTGCAGCACTTGCCACAAGCGTGTGGGTTTAATGGGTTTTAACTGCAGGTGTGGCAATCTCTTCTGTTCAGTTCATCGTTACTCTGACAAACACGATTGCCAATTTGATTACCAGATGGCTGCTCAGAATGTTATAGCCAAAGAAAACCCTACTGTTAAAGCAGAAAAGCTCGATAGTATCTAACAGGCAGGATATGTTAAAAGTTTATGAAACCAAGTATGATGCTCTCTTTACATATCTGTGCATCTCTGTATAATTTGGCGACGTGTGTTGTTGGATGGTGTAAGGCAAGTGAATGGGGCCGTCGTTTTGATCTTCGAACTTTGGGGTACCTGTCTATTGGCCAGAGTTAAGTTGGTTTTCTTGTGTGTATATGTCGTTGAAAAATCAATGTTTGTTTGTTTTTTGGGACACTCGATTTGAGTAGTTAAAAAATTATTCAAAATTAATGTAGTGTAATTTGGATTGTATTTCTCTATCTACCAATTCGGTATTTTTTTGCCCCTTTTCCATTTTAAAAATAATAATTTTAACCTCTTAATAATTATTTTTAAATCCACCGTAAAAAAGAATGAACTTGGACAGAATGAAAAGAAATTCCTCTTCAAATAAATCCTGCTCATGGAAATTAGCTTCACAATCATATTCATTTTTATTTTTCTTATACTCCAATAGAAAATTATTGACATGCAAAAGTTTATACAAAACAACAATTATTAGTTCTGTTGACCCCAAAAAATGTTGCTAACAGATGCCGGTCCATTCGTGCACACGCAGCTTGGTCCAACACGCTAATGCCGATCAATGGTCAAGATGGCTCCAGAGAAAGGGCGTGGGAGTGGCTCAAAGGCACGAGACGTTTCCGTTCAGGCTACCGGCAAGAAAATGTAATACGATTGTATGATAAACCAATCGATAAAGAACGATTTGTAGTAGAAAATATGCTATAAGAATCACTGTTGAAAAGAGAGAGATGTTGCTCCAAATATTCAGTTTGTTCTTCAAAATTGCATTAGTCCCTTTTGTGTTACATGGTAGGGGTATTTATAGTGTTACAACTCAAATAGTGACATTTGGATCAATTTACACGTGGCCTCATCTCCTCGGCCAAGACATCAAATCTTAGCCATCAAGTTGACTCTCCTAACTTTACAAAGCATTAAATGCTCTTACATTGACAAAACAAGATACAAATAAACTTTACATAAGAGTCACGTCAATCATTCACAAAAGATCTTCATCATAAGCGAATCTTCACGTGTGGGTCTTCAGCAGCTGCTAAGGAGCCTCGGACAATGTATACTCACCGAACCGTGGCTTATTGTTAACAGCAGTGGCCTCGGAATAACAGTGATGGCCTCGGAATTCACCTCTGAGGCTAGGAAAATATGTCTTGATTTAATTAAGCTGGTCCCACCGCTAAAATACGGTGCCATGTGTCGCTTTCATATATTGACCCGTAACAAGTTCAAATGTTAGTCCATACGTAATAAAAAAATATTTGATAAACTATGTAAATTCATGTTGAATTGTAAGGAGTGACATATACATTCACTCCATATTGTTTATGTTGGCAAATAATGATTTTATCGTGTTATAATTTAAAATAATATTTTGCGGTGAATAAACAGTTGGGCAGAATATCGACTTTCTTCAAAATGAACGGAATAAAATTATAATGGTTGAGGTAAGAGTTCGATTCTTTCTCTTTAAGACGATAATGCTCCAAACTAGAGCCGACGGTCTTTCGGCACTCATCTCCAAAGGTACAACGACCTTGGCTTGTAATAGAAGTACTCCAAATTACAAGATCTATTATAAGACCCGACGAACCTACTAATGTTTTTGATCTCTATAAAAAATTGAAGAACTAAAATGCATGAAAATAATATTTGGAACTGAAATGCACAATATGGAATCATACAAAATTGAAGGATTATTTTTTGTAAGAGAGAAAATTAGGAAAGATTTTCAAATGAATAAAATTCGGGGTATGGAAACTTTATATAGAAGTTGAAAAATTGTGTCCAAAAAGACATAACGGTCGAAAAGTTGTATCTAAAACAGACACAACCCGTTTGGACAGACAATTTAACTATCAACTGCTAGTTTCTATAAGACGCCGCGTGTCGCATATAGAAAATTCGGAGAAATATAAATAATATAAATAAATATATTATTGTTTTAAATAATAATAAAATAATATAATTCAAATATTATTTTATCAAAAAATATAGACCAACTTGGCCCAAACCCAAGCCCACGACTTGTGATCATACCGTGCAGAGCCGGCCTGTAGTGACGAACTTGTGGGCTTTGACAGTTGACTCAACCTACTAGCATGAAGGTCATCTCCCCTTCAAAGAATATTGTCACCCCTTGTGGCCCAAACTCAAATTTCAAATTTGAGCAATATAAAGTGGATTCTATTTCTTCTCTAGGTTTCTTTATGTGAGATTGTCATTTTTTCAAAATTTCACCAATTTTATTTACAATTTATTTCAATTTCAAATGATCATATTTTGGCCTTAATTTCTTGTACACCCTAAATTGGTTTTGAGAAAACAAAGACATTACATTAATTTGCTCATGAAGTAGAACACACTTTATCAAAGAAATCTTTTGTCCAACTAACGAGGCCCCACTAAAATAATTGGTCAAACCAATTAATTAAAACCAATTTTCCAACAGTGTACCCCCCACCCACCCACCCACATCCTTTCAAAAAACTCTCAAAACTGATGATTTGTAAACCCTCAAGCATAAATTGAACTGTTTTAAAAATTGTTACTAAAAACCACTCAAATTCGGACCTTACATAAATGCCCAAAATCCCCAAAATCGATCCTTCAAAACAAACTCATAATTGGTACCCAAAACTCCCAAACACGCCCTACATGTTTTTGATTGTTTAATCTGTCCGACAATTTTTGTGAAATTTCGTAACGAGCGGAGATCTGAGACTTCTGGAAGGTAAGGATTTTTTTATTGTTTAATTGATTTGATTCTCAAATTAAGTGCCCGATTGATTTGTTTTATTTTCCCAATAGATACGTGTTTAAGGTCTAATTCTATCATATTTAATAATAAAATACCTCGTTTTTCAGTTTATGCCCACGTTTTTTATGTGTTCGTGTAATATTCCCAATTTAGGTCACAAGAGAGAAAATATTTGATGTATTACCAAAAAATATGTGCATGCAAAGATAAAATTTTAGCCACTAAGTCGCATCATTTCATGACTGATGTTCTAAATCGCACTCTATCAAAGGCCAATACTTTTTACTATGCACCTTTTGCACTTGAAATTTCACGTCCAATTGGTCCTATTGAAGACTTTTTCAACTCACATTTTAATCTTTATATAACATTAAATTCCAACATTTTATTATAATCATGTATGTTTTAAGTCGACAAACATTTTTTTCAAGTTAAATTCAAATAAATATATGTAACATATATATAAGATACATGTTAATTAAAATGAACTAACCCAACACAATTTTGTGGATATTCATAATAGGGACACACTTGTGACAGAGAGAATCATTAATAACGCATACTAAATTCAATTATAAGAAACATAAGACAATAGTCCATCTCGAATTAGTTAAATTTATCAATAATCTTAATCAATCTTAAAAATATTGTCCCACAACTTTTCAACCACACATTTCAAAAATTTATATCACAATTTAAGAAAAATCTAATTTCAATCCACGCCTAACACCTTCTTTACTGAAGAGTATTCCTGCATTCCATGTGCAATACTGGCACGGACAAGCTATGTTATGTATGCTACTGAATTCAAGAGGGAAGAAATGATGTTGACAATTCATAATAAATGTCATAAATAAACAGCCCTCAACGTGCGGATGACAGCAAAAAATCTGAGTCCAGAAATTGACAATAATTTAATTATTAAATCTCACTGTAAAATGTGGGTTTCATAAATTGTATGTTGAACATTCAAGTGAGTCATTAACCTCACATTCTCGATGGTCTGCAGAATCGGTGAACCTTTTGCGAACAAAAGTAATGATATGAGTGCAAAGTAAAGTTTGGGATTGTACAAAAAATCAAATTATGGGGTCCAAACCTTTAGAAAATAATAATAATTGTATTTAAAATTGAAAAGGAACCAAAATTATTTCATTCAAGCTTTATTGGGAAGATGAACTTATTGATTGTTTGAACTGAAATGCTATCTGGAATTACCTAAGCAGAATAACTGACAAAAGGAATGATATGCACCAGATTGGAAGCTATAAGAGTATGGACATTGCATGGGGGAAATATGGAGTGAGTCATAATTCCTCGAATTCCACAAGTGTTACTTGACTCTAAGCGGTTCTCAAAAACATATATGAATTGATGTTACTCTATACTCGTTTGATATCCTAATAAATTCACACGTAATTCTATTTCAATATTAAGCTTATAAAACACACAAAACATATCATTCTGCATACTGTGACACAACGTTATTCATTTCAAACATCTCGACTTCTTAGCATAAAAGAACTCTCATTAGGCAATCCTAATCTCACGTTGGAAATGTGTCGCATTGCATGTCTCTTCCCACACCAAAATCATAAAGTAACAATAATCGAAGATTATGACGGATTTAAAGCATAACAAATTTTCACACGAAAATTTTATTAACGAAGATAAAATTCTTGAACCTCATCCTACATAAGGGGTTAAAATTGTTGATCATTGAGGATGAATGTCAATGAAATCTACCTTCTTTAACTCACATATTTGCAAGCCAATGCAAATTGCACTGCCTATCTGTGCTTTAATTAAGTGCTAGCCCTTTGTATGGATAGGCATATTGTTGGTCATGATAAATTAATGTAGGGCCTCTCTAATTAGTACACTCCAATGACCCTTTATTCTATTTGTCTGGAGACTATGACACAACTAATTTATGGCCAGATATGGTGCCCATAGAGTCTCTCATAAATTCTACTGTCTATTGAATTTATGAGATTTTTAGGTGGGTGGGTTAGCTATGAAAGATGGGACATAATTCTAGCACCTTGTAGGTACAATACATAATAAAGTTGTCAAAGTCACAGTA